GAGAGACACACACACACACACACACACACACACTATCTCTGGATATTCTTCTTTCACATACACACCTGCTGCTCACTGGATAAGTCAGATAAGTAAAATAACACAAAAATAGCCTATAGATAATATGTAAAATAAGTAAAAAATAAATAAATATTAGATTACCTTTAATTTCTTCAATGTGTCTATATCATGGGCAGCATCCTGTGATGCTAAAAATCACATAATTAGTTAAATATAACAAGTAGGGTTAATACTCAATGTGTCATGGTAAACTTTCAATCCAATTTTTTAAATAATAATTATTTATTTGATGGTTTGTTTGGAATTAATAAATAAATAATCTGGGGCCTGTTTCATAAAACAAGTTTACCAAATAAACCAGGCTTATTTCAGTTAGTCTGATTTACTGTCAGCTGATTTGGTTCAAAATAAGTCAGATGAACTGGAATAAACCTGGTTTATTTGGTAAACTTGTTTTATGAAACAGGCCCCTGGTCTTAAAGTATAAAAAATAATCTTGAAGTTGACATTTATTATGATTTTACTGTGTTAACAATAGCTAGAAATTACAGAATTCATCATGATCATGGAAACCTTTTTAATATAATGATAACCATATTCAGTAAATTGGAATTAGTCTTAATAAACAAACAAACAATCTGGACAATTATTTTTTACCTTCAAATCTAGTGTGATTTGACTGAAATACAGAATTCTAAATTATCTATTTTATTAGTAGTGTTGTTGTTATTAATGGTTACCATGGTAAACTTTTTTTTTTTAGTTTGTTCATCTTTGATATGCATCGTTACACAAAGTACCACGCATTGCCAGCTTTATTTAGTCACTGTTGATATCTTGAAGTCCATAAATACAGTAATCGCGATGGAATAATACTGGTATTTCCAGCAGTGTACCCTGGTACCACCGCAGTAGGGTTTGTACCAGGTTTTCCCAATGAATGTTGCAAATATACATCAAACACACAACGCACAGAGCAGGAGGAAGGGTCTGATGGTGCCCACTTGCAGGTCGAGGCTCGAGTTCTGCACAAAGCGCGCAACCTTAAGTTTGGGACACCAGTTAATTTCAAAATAAAAGCCTCTCTTCATGCATTAGCCCACGCTTTACGCATGATGACACTAATTTCACAAAATACTAATTTCTTCACTAATAAACTCGACATTACATTCATTACTACATCATTACTAATAAATCTGAAATACGATTTCACAAACGTTTCAGTTTTGTTTGTATGCCTTGGTGTTAGTAAAGTAAAACAGTTTTTATACACCAAGTGTTTTTGTGCATTACTTTACATTTTTTCTCTTTAAATTTAAACACTGCCAGTCGTTTAGATTAAAAGAAGTGAATTTGTAAGGTGTTGCTGACTTTCAACCATTGTCATTTTAGCCTTTTTAGTTAAATAGTCACCCAAGATATTTTTTAATTACAAATATTCAATGTAAAATATATAAATTAATGAGGTCATAAAGCCACATACATAATTGTACAAGAATTCATATTCTTGACAATGCTGATATATCAACCAACATTACAGATATTTGCTCACGCACATTGACAAGAACCAAAAAACGTTCAACTTTAAAAGAAAGTTTATTGAAAACCCACATAAATGAATCAACATTGAAAAAAAAAAAAACATTTTGCTTGGCATTGGGGGGAAAAAAGAAAATCCTCCACTTTTTCATACTCATCTTTCTATTAAAAGAAAAGTGCCGTCTTGTTAAAGCTCATGGTTCTGCGTATATGAAAATCAGATTCAATCTGTTCCCAGTTCTGTTGCTCCTTTCTAGATTGCATTAAATGGATGTTTTGCATCGTTCATATAAACAGAACTAAAGGAATGCATATGGCATTTTTAAAAAGTGTATGTCCCTTTTCGCTTGTTAAAAGATCCTTTGGTTTTTTAGTACATCTCTAACAGTTTGTCCCATAAAACAGCTGCATGCATGAAATTCAGTCTAAACCAAATCCCCTTCAGTAAGTAAAGCTAGGTTCGATCTACAGCATCACCAGCGCATGCATGTCTAATACAGCGGTCTTTATACGAACAGCATTAAGATATGACATTCACTGAAAGATATGCAGCTCATGATCATAAAATATGGCGATAAAAATGAAGAATGATTGAAATTGGCAATGATTCATTTGGCACAGAAAGAGTTTCATCTGGAGAAATGCATGCAGCTCGATCCAGAAATGATCAAAAACATGCTGTAAATGTTTTTCTCTTGGCTTTAGAAACGCGTTTGGCACATTGTTTCGCATGTGGACTATGTAAACGGGGTTGCATCATTAAGGCTGTTTATCCCATAGAAATGCATTACAGAAGTATAAAAATGAAGGCACTCTTCAGATGGCAGGACTACAGATCAGTCTCAGTGCAGACGAACGGCAAAAATCTGTGTCCATTTCAGGCAAACATGGTCAGAGAAATCCACTGCAACACAGAGAGAAAGATCATTATAGAATGCTACTGCTTTGAACTAGACGTGTTATTCACATGTATAGAGGTTAACTAAACATGACTAATTCATCTCAGACATGTTCATCTCTCTACGTGTTTTGGGTGTGTGTTTGCAGTGTGTTGAAATGTTGGTGTAAGTGAAACCTGAAAGAACGTGAGCGATATGAATCCATCAGCGTCTGTGTCCAGCGTCTTGAAGGTCTCTGTAAAAACACACACGCGTCTCAGTCCGATTGTCCTGATAGCTCATGTCAGGTCAGAATTACTGTACTTATAAAAAGATTGTGCATGTTATATTCTTGTAATTTTGTGTTACAACAATGCACTTAATGCAGAAATGGATCTATGCCCAACTTTTCTGTCAGTAACAGCAAAATAGCTAATTACATGGATTCTCTATTCACTTCAGTTCAAAGGTTTGGGGTCGTTAAGGTTTCTTTTTAATGTTTTTGAAAGAAGTCTCACTAAGGCTGCATTTATTTGATCAAAAATACATTAAAACCGTAAAATTGTGAAATAATATAATTTAAAACAAGTGTTTTCTATGTGAATATCTGTTAAAATGTAATTTATTTCGGTGAATTTTCAGCATCATTACTCCAGTCTTCAGTGTCACATGATCTTCAGAAATCATTCTAATATGCTGATTTGCAGCTCAAGAAACATTCCTGATTATTATCAATGCTGAAAACAGTTGTGCTGCTAAACATCTTTGTGGAAACTGATACATTTTTATTTTCAGGATTCTTTTAAGAATGGAGATTATTTTATAAACAAAGTTCAAAAGAACAGCATTTATGTGAAATAGAAATGTAACATTATAAATGTCTTTTACTGTCACTTTTCATCAGTTTAATGCATCCTTGCTCAAAAGTATTAATTTTTCAAAGAAAATATTAGTGACCCTAAACCTTTGAATGGTAGTGTATACATTTTTTAAAAATATATATATATTCTATTATCTTTGTGCGATATGAAATTACAAAAAAAGTACAATTTTAATATTTAAAATGAAAAATTGCTACACTTCTTAAATTCTATGGCCATGACACATCGACTCACTGAACATGGTCTCCAGACGCACTAAACAGGTGACAAAGTTGTCGAAATCCACAGACAGATCTTCCTCTGTGTACCGAAGGATGATCAGCTGGAATAAATGATTGTTCAGCTTAAAGCCTGGAGGAAACGGGACGAACAGAGAGTCAGGACACAGAGGTGAATCAAAACAGACCAAATAAGAGCTTTTCGACTGTGTACCTGCTGCTTCCAGAGCTCTTCTCATCTCATAAGAGCTCATAGTGCCTGATTTATCCACGTCATGGTCTCTGAAGATTTGCTGTCAACATATGCAAATCATAAATCATGCAATCATCTGACAGTTTTTAATTTCTTCATGCAGTCGTCTTCAAACCACGGACTGCACACAATTTATCCATTCATTGATTTTTATTTATTATAAAAATGTTTGTAATCTCGAATTAAAATGTCATGTCTGTTCATTTAGTCGCTTCAGGCAAAATGCATCATAATATGGCAATACAATCTTTTTCATGATGACTTCATTACTATATTTTACACGTTCTTCATTTTATAATTTTAGCCAAGGTTTCATGCACCAAAAACAGAAACCGAGCTGTTCACAGTGCTATTTTAGTTTTACTGAGATACTATATTCGTTTCTATTCATATTTTGAATGGTACTTTTATAAGATGCTTTCACTCTTATAAATAGATAGTTTTAGTCATTTTTCTTTTTTAATTGTCTATATAGCTTTTATGAATTTATTTTAAGTAATGAATGTATGGGTTTACTTTTACTTAACTATAACACTGGTTGTTTATAACAACTTTTCACTTTCTCTCTGACTCTCAGAAATAAACATGCTGCTTTTTCTGCTGCACTTCTAATACTTCTATATGTAAACGAGCTCCGTTATGACTGGCTAATGTTATGTGTAATGTCCGGGTCAAGCTGCTGAACACTGAATAGGTGTTGATATGTAAATGTGTTGACTTAAACCATCAGAAGAGCCCTCACTAAAGACTACCTTTGAAAAACATGAATATAATATCATCTCACCAGGTAGCGTTTAACCTTTTCCCACAACACGTGAAACTCTGTGAGTCCGAGCTTCCCGCTGCCGTCCGTCTGCAAACATGTCAAGGACAATCAGAGCAAGAGAAACAGAAATATAGTCTGCACTGTACGAGACACAAAGAGCGAATGGTTGATGTGAACATGCAGAGCAAATAAGACTTGAGATGTTAACACTGCAGTGTCAATGTATCTGGTGGTGACAAATAAAAAGAAACTGAAAAACCCCTCAATGACCAGTATTTGTTAGCGGAGTTATGTTAAGTGAATATGTTTTAAAGCTGATTGTGTGGAAAGGATACGTCCATGAGGTTGATCATGCTTCGGCACGACTCCTTTCCAAACCCGTCCGTCTTTAAATCTTTATCTGTGCATAAAGACACACAACAGAGATGAGCTCTCAGAAAGTGTGATCTGTCTGACACTTCATTTAAAGGGGTCATATGATGCTGCTAAAAAGAACATTATTTTGTGTATTTGGTGTAATGAAATGTGTTTATGCGGTTTAAAGTTCAAAAAACACATTATTTTCCACATACTGTACATTATTGATTCTCCTCTATGCCCCGCCTTTCTGAAACGCGTCGATTTTTACAAAGCTCATCGGTCTGAAAAGCGAGGTGTGCTGTGATTGGCCAGCTATCCAGTGCGTTGTGATTGGCTGAATACCTCAAGCGTGTGACGGAAATGTTACGCCCCTCACCATACTGTGATGCCCTGTCCGGCCGGAGCGACGAGACAAAAACATTAAAACCCATTACAAACGAGGCATTTGTTGCATCCAGTGGGGACATAATTACTGATTATAATGACTTATACTGTGTTTTTACGCGTTGCGTTGCATCGCGCCGCGTAAACATAAAACCATGTCTGCATTTGTGATCAGAGAAATGACAAACAACAAGTGCTACTCTAACACTGCTCAAAACTCACGTTTGAATCATCAGTGGCAACTCCTTTAATATAAAAAACGTACTTAAGTATAACAGTCTTACAGTCTGTGAGTCAGAGCAGCCAGCATTGTAGTCTACTCTCCCAGGATCAGGAAACAGTCCTCCATAAAATGCGCTGCACACATCGGAATATTTGGGTTGAACTGTTCTGGAACAGTGTTATAAATACCACTGATTTGTAGTCGTGAGAGGAAACATCATTACTAATGACAGTTCAAAAGTTCTCAACCCATGAAACATTGTGACATAATTGAATCTAAAATATAAAAGTATGACTTCTAGTCAATACTCACAATGATAAAGATATTTTAAGTTTATTGCTAAATATTCAGATGCAAATACACATCATTTGACTGTAGCAAGAGCGCGACAACTGACTTGTGGCTTCTGCAGAAGCATATATAGCACAGATTCTGTCGGATTTAACTAGTAGGATGCTGTCTTAGAAGTGAGCCGCCTGTGTAGACAGTGACGCGGCTCACTAGGGTTTGAAACAGAGCCACTGAGTCATGAAGATCTCACGTTTGGAGATGATTCGGTTCAGGATGGTCTGCAGCTCCGTCGTGCTGATCTCCATGTCCTAGAACACATATTCCCACGTGATTAACATATAAATGCATTGTAATATTTCATGTCTGCACACAGCAGTGGTTCATCAGTCTCTCACCGTTCCAGCCAGCTGTCTGAAGAGACTCTTAAACCCGGCGTCAATCTGACTCTCGTCCAGACGTTGCTAAAGCAATCGAGAGAGAATATACTTATACATAAATAAATGTATACTTGCTGTCTTGCATGATCAAATAAGCTCCTGTTCCATCAGAAACCATCTATTAACCTGAATTCGCTTTACTAAATGTTATTATACAGTGTGTGTGTATATATATATATATATTGTAGTAGGACATGTTTTTTAGCAGTAAAACACTCAAGCATGAGGTATATTGTGAATACAGCTGTGTGTAGTGTCTAATAACTCCCTTTAACAGAGAATATATTTGTAGTATAGTGCAGTCGCTCTTATCTTCTTGCTGAACTATAGAAATGTGTCTCGATCTGATCATCTCACCTCCTCTGGAATATCAGCCGTGACTTTATCATCCATTTCTCTGAAGGACACAAAGAGAATTACAATATGAGCCAGAGAATGATCTTTGCCTTCACTGGATGAACAGATCTGCTATCAAAGTTGAGTGTTTCCGCATTAGAACAAGCTCTATAGTGGCACTATTTAATCAACAAGGTCCAGAATTAATGCTCAGGAGCATCGATTCTAAAAAAAAATCTTATTTTACTAAGTAAATGAAACAAGAAAAGAGATGATTAGGTCAGGTTTACTTTAGTTTAGTCTTCTGGGGTTTTTTGGGGTTTATGCATTTCATATCATAGAGATGGTTAATCAAATGGTCAATTTAAATGTTATTAAGAAGCCAAAAGGTGGTTGTTGTTATTAATATTATTAATTTATTTTTGCAACTTTGCTGCAACAGTTAAAAGCGTTAAATAATAAAATTTTCATTAGGATAAAATTGAGGTATTTTAAAATATTTAAAATACAATTTAAATTATCTTCATATTATATATTCAGTTTTCTCAATTCATTCGCCATTAGCCAGTATAAACGTTGATTAAGTTCATTCTCAGCGGCATCAAAGTTAGTAAAACGATTTTTTTAAGTAAATGCAACAACAGAAAAGAGATACTAATCAGCTGACCAATAACACCTTCATGAATTGCAAAATAATAACTGAATTTGCTGAGTAAGATCAATAGTCTATTTTTTGCCCCAAATATAAGCAAAAGGAGCAGTTCCAAAGAGATACAAAATAGTCTGTTAAATGTTAAATAAATGCCACTATTGGGAATCTTTCCTTAAAAGCACTTAAAGAGTTTAAAAGTGTACTTTTTTAAGTTTTACCAACTCTAGAATTTAAAGTGACAACAAAACATCTGCAATGCAATAGTGAAATGTTTTATGTGACGGGCTAATTCATGATGTTTTGAGTGGCAGCATGAACTATGCCATTTGCAGCACATATGCAATGGTTAAAACAGCTAAGTTATACAATATGCATGCAGGATAAAGTATATATATTTTGAGGAAATAATGCAAAATGTACATAGTCAGTGGAAAGTATTCCTGTTAACATCCTGTACATTTTGGACCCTGTTGAGAAAGCTCATGTTTAATCCTAACAGCTGGATCAGTCAGTGCGTGCCAACTTACTCCGAGTTGGCGGGTTTCTCTGAGAAAACTCTGAGCACGAAGTCGGCCTCTTTCTGCGGCTCGAATGTGGAGGGTACGATGATGTACTCGCCGGCGGGCAGCTGGAAGCGTGAGCTCACCTCCCGCAGGTTAATGAAGAGCTCCGAGCGAGCGCTGGACGCGTTAGTCAGGAAGAAATCCCGCTTCAGATGAACACCTGACTTCCCCACAAACTGAGCACAAACACACAGCATTAACTCAGTCACGTCCGCTTTAAGCTGGAAATCTGTCTACAAACACTTTCATGAGCATCATTCATCAATAACATTCATGTTAAAACCTATTCTCAATTTACAAAACAGTGAGTGGTATTTACCAGAGTAAAATTTGTTGCCAGGGTGTTGCTATGTGGTTGCTAAGGTGTTCTGATTTATAGGTTGTTGCTATCGTGTTGTGTGTGATTGCTACGGTGTTTTGAACTGTTTATAGGGCATCTACAGATTGTTTCCAGGGTGGTCTGTGGTTTCTAGAGTGTTGCTAGGGTTCCTAGGTGGTTTCTAGGGTGGTTTCTATTTGTCAGTGCAAAACTTCTTATTATGGGTTGCCAGGGTGTTGCTATGTAGTTGCTAGGGTGTTCTGATTTATAGGTTGTTGCTATGGTGTGGTTGCTAAGGTGTTTTTAACGGTTTATAGGGCATCTACAGATTGTTTCCAGGGTGGTCTGTGTGGTTTCTAGGGTGTTGCTAGGGTTTCTAGGTGGTTTCTAGAGTGTTGCTAGGGTTCCTGGGTGGTTTCTAGGGTGTTGCTAGGGTTCCTAGGTGGTTTCTAGGGTGGTTTCTATTTGTCAGTGCAAAACGTCTTATTATGGGTTGGTAGGGTGTTGCTATGTAGTTGCTAGGGTGTTCTGATTTATAGGTTGTTGCTAAGGTGTGGTTGCTAAGGTGTTTTGAAGTTTATAGGGCATTTATAGATTGTTTCTAGGGTGGTCTGTGTGGTTTCTATGGTGTTGCTAGGGATCCTAGGTGGTTTCTAGGGTGTTGCTAAGGTTCTTTGGTGATTTCTAGGGTAGATTCTATTTGCCAGTGCAAAACAACTTCTTATGGGTTGCCAGGGTGTTGCTATGTAGTTGCTAAGGTGTTTTTAACAGTTTAAAGGTAATTTATTGGTTGTTGCCAGGGTGTTGCTATGTGGTTGCTAAGGTGTTATGAACAACTTGTAGGCCATTTATAGGTTGTTGTTATGGTGTTCTGTGTGGTTGCTAGGTGGTTTATAGGGTGTTGCTATGTGGTACTCCCCTTTATTTGTCAGTGCAGAACTTGTTGTCATGGGTGCCAGGTTGTGAATATGTGGTTGCTAAGGTGTTATGAACAGTTTATAGGCCATTTATAGGTGATTTCTAGTGTGTTGTATGTGACTGGTAGGTGGTTTCTAAGGCATTGCTTTGTGGTTGCTAAGGTGTTTGGAACAGTTTATAGAGCTTTTATAGATTGTTTCTAGGGTGTTCTGTGTGATTGCTAGAGCATTGCAATATAGTTGCTAAAGTGTTCCGAATGGTTTATAAGGCATTTATAGGTTGTTGCTATGAAGAACCTTATATGGACATGGTGTGGGCATGTCTTATGCAAATTACTAACACTTGGCATGCTGTCACTCATTTAGAATACTACACTTAAAATGTGTAGTCGTTACAATTATGGTTACAAATGAGGTTACAAATAATTTCCTATGTGTGTGCATGCTACAAGGCAGAATTTTTTCTCCCGTAAGTATAAATACGAACAATTTATGCAACTATTAGTGAAACAGACCTAGTGTCATCAAGCTTCTCAAGATTTGACTCTTTTCTACAGTATTTAAAGGCCTTCAAATGTCCGAATCATCTCACAAGCCTGTTTGAAACAATCTGTACAATATAAAGCACATATGTATATATAAATAAATGGCACTTGATTTAAAAGGCCCTGGGTGGCTCTCATCATACCTCTCTTGGCACCTGCAAAAATAAAGGTGAAAAAACAACCAATCAGAAAAGGAGCCAAAAACACATGAACAGGAACTTTAGATGAGTTAAAGGGGTCATATGATGCTGCTAAAAAGAACGTTATTTTGTGTATTTGGTGTAATGAAATGTGTTTATGCGGTTTAAAGTTAAAAAAACACATTATTTTCCACATACTGTACATACTGTATTCTCCTCTA